TTTCAGCCCCGCAGCTTTTATAGGTCCTGAGATGAAAGTGCGTGACAGACGCACACACAGACACATGGATACACAGACAACCCCTCGTCAATATGCGTTTTTGCATTGCGTAGCTGCAAAAAACGCATAAAAATCACTATAAAAACTCGCAAAAACTTGAGCTTTTTTAATGCAAATTTTATGACACCCACCTTAGCCGGTCTGTAAAAAAAATTTACGAAACAGCCAACACGAGAACATATAAAATCCGAGAAACTAGTCGTGTAAAAACAGAAAATTTCATGAAAAAGTTGACCCCACACTCCCTGCATCATGCCAATACCTTCCCCAATGCTACAGCGAACTAGCTGTTTTCACGTCCACCTGGTCAAATGTTGCCAGTGGCTACGTTCAAAATTTTCAACTTTCTAGCTTTATCAGTTTCGAAGTTACAAAACTGTCTACGTCGGATTTTACGTGCCAGTACGTGAGGCACAGGAGGGCTTGAAGAGAGGTGAAGTACCAAGCCAAAGTTGTAAATCTTTTAATATTTTTGCTCTGACAGGTTTTTCATCTGAGGCTAAACTGCGGCAAAACTGAATTTTTCAAAGCTGGAGAGAAGAGGGAGAGGAGCAAAAAAATTAGTTCAGCTGATAAATAACTATAAAAAAACTGAATAAAAATATAACAGAATACCCCTTCTTACACTGTCAAGGAATTTTGGCAGCATCCTTACTATCCAAGCTCCCATCTATTATATATTTTAAAAAAACCCGTTTCCTTCCAGAACAAAAATGGAAAAAAAAAGGCAAAGCCCTTTACTGATTAATAAAACTTACAATCTTTATATTCATCCCATTTCCTTAAACGTGCTCGTTCCTGTTCCTCTTTATCTTCATCATCGACGTCTTCAGAGGCCGATTTATTTTCTGATGAGCTTGGATTTAAGGCGGCAAATCTGGAATGTTACGTAACAAAGTAGGCTGCTGAAAAGAGAGAAAAGACAATTTGGATGGAATATTCAAAAGTTAAAAAAAAAAAAAGAAAAAAAATGATTTGACTGCACCAAACTGCATATTACATAGGATACTTATTAAAAAAATTCTATGGCAAGAAAAGGTTAACAAAACTGACCTTCCACTTTTCACCATATCGTCATACCATTCGTCAACACTCATCGTCGGGATACTTGGATAACCAAGGCCAAATACTTTCTTTTGGTTTTCATCACGTGTTATTATGAACGGTAACTGTGCTGGTGGTTTTGCTGCAAAATTATTCATAAATTTCGAATAAAAATTTATTATTCGTATCTTAATTATAACTTATTGCTCTTGACAAATAATTCCTAGTAACTTTTGCACATTTTCTGGAGGCGCCGAACAATAATCCTATTCAATGCCTCTAAAAACTATACAAAAATCACTATAAATTAGTTGTCAAAAACAATAATATCGATTTGGCCACTGATAAGAAGTCCCTAGTGTTATTTAGATGCGAATTACGGTTACATCAGCCTCCTGCTCTAAAATTAGTACCCAGGTAGTATACACATGCATATCTCGATCATTGACAAAGACTTAAAAACAAAAATCATTGAAAATAGGCTGGTGAACAGTTTCACAAAAAAAATTTTTTTTAAACGACAGGGAATTTTGCTCGTTCCAGAATATCATTCCCGACCCTTGACCGCAGCTCTCCCCCGTCACCCTCATTTTTCCAGCTATGCAATACAAGGAAAAGATAAATGGCGAGGGTACCCATTGCCGGCGCGAAGATGCGTTTATTGCACACTTTCTCGCAGGTTTCTTTCGCTAACTGTACCGGCTTTCCTGCAGATGCTTCTAGCTAAACGAATTGAGACTGGTCGCCAGGACTGTCACGAAATATCCCCTCAAAATTTCTGTCTTCTAACTCTTCAGGTTCCCGAGCTAGAAACATACCTGAAAATTTCCCGGGCCTATAAGTGAAAACCGCGCAGAGCCGGCGTCTGGGTTTGAACTTATTAAGATCTACGTGGAGGGAAATATCCCCTTAAAATTTCAGCTTTCTAGCTTTTCTAGTTCCCGAATTAGTAGCCTACCAGTCAAAAAATTTGGCGAACCCGTGCATGGGCACCGTGCAGGTAAGAGCACCCATTTTGGGGATGAGGGCCTGTACATGCATATCGATCAAGTCCCCAAAGTTTCAGCCCTCTAGCTTTTGTAGGTCTCGAGATGAAAAATCGGTACAGACGAACACACAGGCATACACACACAAAAACTCTCATCAATATGTGTTTTCCGTATTGCATAAATGCAAAAAAATGCATAAAAAAACACAAACGTGGCCGTTTTAAGGGTTCGACTTGTCCTGTACGCATTTTTAACATATACTCAGCCAGTGGTATTTCCTCTTCAATCTGCTCCAAATCATTCAGTGCTGCCAGTGCGGCAAGACGTAGACGACTGAACAAAAGATCGCGCTAAATTTACAAAAAAATTAATCAATTTAGTTTTCTAACATTCTAGATATTTCCTTTAAAAAATAGGAAGTAAACAAAATGAATTTCTTGTTACTTTACAAATCCAAAGCCTATTTCCGAACAAATTAGGACGGTGGGAACCGTGTTAAGAACGCAATAAATTTCAAAAAAAAATTTTTTTTTTTGGGTAGAAAGTTTGTAATGTCAAGTGACAGCTGTGTTAGGCGGCGAAATCATTAGTACAGGGGTTCGAAAAAAAAAAACCAGCCCAGATATGAGGATTATATGCAATTTAACGAAATATTATCCAGATCGAGAAAGAAGCAGCATCAAAATCAATAAGATGACTCCAAAAAAAACACAGAGTTACAGTGTTTTGCATCAACAGGCCTTTTTCAGATTTTGTGTACAAGCCAACAGCTAAGGGATGAAACACAGACTGCATACAGACTTATTCTTTTTCAACATTTCCAAA